ATACAGCAACTAGAAGGATGTGCAGCTGTGACATACAACTATCTACTGGGGCTTTGGGGGAAAATAAATAAATAAATAAAATTAAAAAAAAAAAAAAAACAACACTCTTACAAATAAATTATAGGTTAAATAATAAGTTACAAAAAGAAAGACCTGAACAGACACATCACAAACGAGGATCTGGAAACGGTCAATAATCACATGAAAAGATGCTCAACACCATTAGTCGTCAGGGATATGCAATTTAAGGCCACAGTAAGATTCCATTTTACACCCATGTGAATGGCTAAAACAGAAAGAATGACAACAGCAAATGTTGGTGATGATGTAAAAACAACTGGAACACTTCCACATTGTTGGTGGGAATCTAAAAAGATGCAATCACTTTGGAATATTATTTGGCAATTTCTCATAAAGTTAAACACACAACGACCCTATGATCCAGCAATTCTACTCGTAGGAATCTGCTGAAGAGAAATGAAAACATGTCCACAAAAATACTTGTTCTTAGCAACTTTATTCACTGTGTCTCAAAAAATCAGAAACAACCCCAATGTCCAAAAGGAGAAAGGATAAATATAGTGTGACACAGTCATATTAGTATAATGGAATACTACTCAGCAATCAAAGAAGGAACTGATATACATAACAAGGATAAATCTCTAAAACATTATGCTGAGCAAAAGAAGCCAGGCATAAAAGACTATATACTGTATGATTGCATTTCTATGAAGTTTAAGAACAGGCAAAACTAATCTATAGTGATAGAACTTAGAGCAACGGAGGGTGGGTTTTGCTTAGAGGGGGACATGAAGCAAACTTTCTGTGATGAGAGAAATGTTCTTTATTTTGATTGGGGTGGTGATTACATGGTTATATGCATTTCTGAAAATTACTGAATTGTACACTTAAGATTTGTGCATTTCAAAGTATGTAAATTTCACCTCAATAACAGCAATTAAGAATTACTTTTTAAAACCATGATTTTTAGATTATGGATAAAAGTCAAATTTTAAATCCAGTAAGTTTTAGCAAAGTCATTGTACTTTAACTACTAATATAATAGAAATATTTTAAAAGTTTAGAGTCCCCAAACTTCTAAAGTTCTGTGAATCCACACAATTTCAAACTGTCTCCGTACTTACACAGTCCTCATCTTCAAATTTTAATATGGTGATTTCGGTGAACTATGACAAGTAAAACATACTTGTTTATGTAAGTGTCACTTAGTTCTCTCGTAACTTCATATCTAACACCATGTATTTTCACCTGAAAAACTTGGACTTTTTCTTTCTGCACATATAACTGAAACTATCAGTGTTTTTAGAAATTTGCTTTTAAAAGTCTTTTTAAACTTTAATTTGATCAAAATATATTCTCTTTTAAACTTTAATATTTGTAATTATACTTATTCCCATTTCTAGACATATAATACTGTACTCTCCACAATCCCCCCTCCAACCTTCCTCAATACAAGTTTCACCTGCTCATCCTTCCTTCTTCTGCTAAGAGTGACCCATATCCCTTAATTTGGTTAACTGGTTTGTCCATGAGTGAGTCTGAGTGTATTTATCCCCAGCATACCTTCTCTAGGTTACAACTAAAAGAAAAACATACTTCTTGAGACCTATTTGAGGTAACAGAAAACAGATCCTTGCTTCATATGGTGGAACTAACTCCATATGGCTGGCTAGCTTCATGTGACCCAGAAATTCCTACTTAATAAATGTTTAAATCCCATTCATTCAACTAAAACATAAATGTATTTATTTAGTCATCAAATAAAAATCCATGGAGAAAAATTCCTAATGCTACACACAGACAAGAAGCGTAAATTTGCCAGAGATTACTATTTTCCTTTTAAAACATAATAAATCGCTTCACATGGTAATTATATACTCTCATTTAATCCTTACCTTCTTTCAGAGCTTTGTCCATATTATGAGAAATTACTACCCTTCTAGACTGAACTGACTCATGTGAGTTTTCATACACAGGACTCTGAAACAGAAGAAAAAAAAAAGTACAGATTACTGAATGAATAAATTGCTTATAAAAATAAAACCAAAGGCATGAAATATCATCTAAACAAGCAATAAGATATTGCTTTACAGATTATAAGGCTCTTCTGGAAAAGTAAATAAATACTTATGGTTAGTTAAGAAATTTTTGAAAAAAAAGAATTAAGGAAGGATTTTTTTTTGGTGACGAAGATTAACCCTGAGCTAACATTTGTTGCCAATCCCCTCTTTTTACTGAGGAAGATTCGCCCTGGGCTAACATCCGTGCCCATCTTCCTTCACTTTATATGTGGGACACCTGCCACAGCATGGCTTGATGAGCAGTGCATAGGTCTGTGCAGGATCCGAACCTGTGAACTGCAACCATCCGAAGTGGAGTGCACGAACTTAACTACTACGCCACCAGGCCGGCCCCAAGGAATGATTGTTTTTCCCTTCCAGATATCAAAACAATATGATGCCAGTGTAAGAATAAACAAATCAGTAGAACGTAGAAAGTACAAAAACACATGCATCTATATATGAGAATTAAGAACATAAGAAGGAATTTGAAATCAATGAGGAAAACTCAGACTTTGAATAAATAGTGTTAGGATAATTTGGTATTCATGTGGGAAAAAAGGTTAGAGTCTTACCTCACAATTTATACATAAATAAATAACTTCAAATAGATTAAAGAGCTAAACATTTCTAAACTAAAAAAGTATTCAAAGGAAACAAGGGAGAAGCTGTGTACAATCTTGGGATGGAAAAGGTCTCCCTAAAATTAGACACAAAATCCAAAAGCTATGAAGGAAAAAAAACCTGACAAATGTGACTATATAAAATAGAAAATTCCTGTTTGACAAGAGACACTATAAAATATAAATGACAAACTAGGAGACACTATCTGCAACATACATAACAAAGTCCTACTCTTTAATATATACAGAGCTCCTAAAATAAGAAAAATAACTCAAAAGAAAACCAAGCAAAGAAACTGAAAGGGTAATCACAAAAGATAAACAAATACCAATAAATATATGAAAAAAAACGCAACCTCCTTTTTAATTAGAGAAATGCAAATTAGAGCAATGAGATACCATCAGACTGCCAAAGCAGGGGACAGACTCAGAATATCTAATGTTGGTAAGGATATATGGAAATAGTTATTTTCACACATTGTTAGGAGAAATGTCTATTTCTACAAGCTTTTAAGAAAGCAACTGAGCCACAGATCACAAAATTTTAAATGCACTATCTTTTCATTCAGCAATCCCACTCCTAAGAATCTATCCAAGGAAATACTTCCACTATGCAAAAAAGTATATGTATAAGGAATTTCACTGCTTTATTGATTACAAGGGCAGAAAACTGGAAACAACCCAAGTGTATATATACCAATAGTCAAAGAGTTAACAAACTATGATACATTCATCCTTTAGAATATAATGCAGCCATTAAAAAGAAGAAATAAGGGGCACATAAACCTTCATAGAAAGTTTTCCATGATGGGAAAATGTTTGGAAGCACATACACCAAATTACTAAAAACAGTTTCCTCTAGGCAGGGGCATAGGATTTTAACTTCTTATTCCGTATGTCTGTGTAACAGCAAGTTTAAAAAAATTTAATTGTAAAAAGATACTGCTTGGCAAAAAAAAAAAAAAAAAAAATAGGGAGAGACACTGTACACAATTAAAATCTCACTATCTGGCTAGTAAGACTACATTCAAGAGAAAATTTTTTTAATTGATCACATACCAAAATGATCAAAAGCATGTATAATGTAACCAGGCCTACTTAGTTTGGGAGGATAAAGAGAAACTGATATTAACAAAACGTAGAGTACCTTTTTGTGCACAGGAAATAATACAAGGGCGTGACTAGCATTACCACGTCACTAAGGAGATCTAAATGGCCAATATTGCTATCGCATCACTTTGTTCTCGGGCAGGCCACCCCAGCACAGCTGCAATCAAGCCCATTGCCCTGGGCCACCCAACTGGGCGTGGAGAATTTCTAGTCCTTGACTCAGTTTCACACTATCCATGGGTCAAGAGTGTCATCCGTGTTCATGCCGACTGTTATTAAAATCAAACAAAAAGCCACAGTTTTAAGATCCCTTAGCTGAAATAAAAGCCTTAAGATGTACATGTTGCACTCATGAAAGAAAAGAATTCTTCTATGCTACAAATACAACATTCAACACCTTCCCAAGGAATAATTTTTTTAAAAAACCTTAAATAATCACAATCCTACAGACACAAGCCATTTAATGCATAAAAGAAATATATTCTCAACTATTTAAAGCTATTTTCTGGTCTCTGAGTTGGTTGCTATAAAATTAAACGGTCAGTATATTCTACTGAAAATAAATTTTTTAGTTTGTGAAAGAAAAAAATTGAGGACACAAGAGGCATTTTAAAATTCTAGTGCTTTTTAAATTTTTTTATTTACTTATTTTCCCCCAAAGCCCCAGTAGATAGTTGTATGTCATAGTTGCACATCCTTCTAGTTGCTGTATGTGGGACGCGGCCTCAGCATGGCCGGAGAAGCGGTGCGTCAGTGCGCGCCCGGGATCCGCACCCGCGATCCGAACCCGCGATCCGAACCCGGGCTGCCAGCAGCGGAACGCGCGCACTTAACCGCTAAGCCACACGGCCAGCCCTCTAGTGCTTTTTAGAACATTAGGCACATATTTAAACAATTTATGGATTTTTGGACAATTTTTTAATTGAATTAATACTTTTAGAGCCCTATACTGATAAACAACTTTAATCACAACTTCTCAAGCCTTTGACAAATAGTCTGGTATAGTCTCCCAAATATAGGTATGGTACTTTTAGTGCACAATGCTCATCTGAAGATAAAACCAAAGCCAAACAACGCTGATTTGAGCAGTTCCTGAATCTGGGTTCTTAAAATGGAACCTGTCTTTAAGTGCTAGGAGAGAAGCGGGTATGAAGTTGACGGACAGGCAGCACCTGCGTATTTAAGCATACTTTGTGTTTATGTGTTTATTTTCACAACTTTCTTCAAAATTTAATTTTATTCCTTTTACTTTTTTTTCTCTCCCTAGTTATGGCTCCACTACTTCTTGCCATGTGTCTGCATATTTCTCTCTGCTTCACACTTAGGTGTAATACATATATAAGCATGTCTGTCACCACTGACTGTATCTGAATAATCACTCTCTCTAATTTATAAAGCTTACGAGAATCACGTTTTCTACTTTTACTCTGTAAGTAAAAGCTCTATTCTTTTTTCAATCTGATTTTCTAGTACGGTTCTGGATTTCCTCCATCCCACCCCCGGGGGTCACTGGCCCTTATTAGAAAGAAAGAAGTTCTTCATCCCTATCCCATCCCCACAGCCTGAGGGAGAGTCTGCAAGTAAGGAGAACAGGAAGATTTACAAAAAAAAAAGAAAGAAAGAAAAAGAAAACATTATGGGCCAAAAATAACTGGGTAACTATGCATGAAAATTCCTTTTTTAAGGATTTAATATGTATGGAACTAGAATCTCCTCGTGTCTAAATTACTACATGAGTATGAGTTAGTCACCACATACTCTATTTCTTTCAGATCAGAGATGGAAATCATTATGCCAAGGTGCAGAAAGAAAGGACGGAGGGGAGGAAAAGAGAGGGGAAAGGAAGAAGCTGAAGAGAGGGAGGAGGGGAAGGGGAGAAAGCTAGTTAGCTAAAATTGTCTTCATCTGCCTTCTATTTCTAGGTTTGTGGAAAAAGAAACTCCACATGGCACAGACGTCCCCAAGACTGACTCTTTAAGGCAAATTCTCACTTCCCCTGTCTGCGCTGGCACAGGCTTTGTTCCTCAGGTAAAGCCTACCTCTTCCTGACAGTCACTTTCCTAGATGCTGGTTTTAGGAAAGATGAAAGAAAAATGTGTGTACTTTCCCCACTCTCACAAAGGTTAAGTGAGAGAAATTTTCAATGTCCATATCCAGAAACTAAGACTTCAAACGTAGTTTGACTACTCGCCTCTTGTTTTAAGTTTGTAGCATCCATGTTATACTATTAACTCATAAAAAGCTTTGGTGAATCAGTACCCCTCTCATGTAAAAAATACACCTTATTTTTTACTGAATTAAAATAAATGAAGCCTGGGCCTGCCCCGTGGCTTAGTGGTTAAGTGCTCGTGCTCCGCTGCTGGCGGCCGGGGTTCGGATCCCAGGCGCGCACCGATGCACCGCTTCTCCAGCCATGCTGAGGCCGCGTCCCACATACAGCAACTAGAAGGATGTGCAGCTATGACCTACAACTATCTACTGGGGCTTTGGGGGGAAAATAAATAAATAAATAAAATCTTTAAAAATAAAATAAATGAAGCCTATCTTCATTTTAAGATTTAAACCTAGCTTAAAACCAACTTGTCAAGATTATTTTTAATCACTCAGTGAGTTAATTCTCCGGAGAGAGAAAAGGAGAGGTCTCAACATATAATTGCTCCTTTTCGAAATGCTTTCCAAAGACAGGGCAAAACATGAAGCTCTTCTTTATTATATGTAACTAGATCCTCAGCATCAAGGAGTAGACGCCATATCAATGAACGGTTTCCTGAATACATCTCAGCTTTCTGTTTACTCCTGAATGTCAGCTTTTAGTCTATAGCTGTAATACACTCCAATTGTCTTTGTGTCAGAGCTAAAGACACTGTCTCCTGAGGAAACAACACGCAGCGAGACCTGGGTACTCTGACACCATTAGCAACTAAACCACTAGGAACTATCTGGAATCCAGCCAGGACATATACCTCATTGTCCACTGTTTGTAGGTATGACATTGCTTACTGTGTTGCTTCCTGTGGGAGCACAGATGGGGCTAGAACAGCCAAGCCACGGCTTGTCATTCCTTTCATCCCTAGTACCTAGACTACTCAAAGTCCCTCTCTCCTTCATTATATACATATACATTTAAAGAAAAATTTTAATGTATTTTGGGCTATTTTAAAAAGAAAAGGTTGTACAGAGTT